TCTTAAAGGAATGCATCACTTTCTAGGGAAGCAGAAATTATTTGAAATCTGTTTGACTGGAACTGTCCTTCAAATGCTCAAGGAGCAAATTATTCTTAGTTGGTACACATTGTTCCAGAGCATTTAAAAAGACAGAAGGTTTGCAAGTTTATTCAGCTAAATTAGAAGAGTGGCCTTCAAGAACAAATTTTTTACAATAAAATGGCTATCTTGTATGAGGCATTTGCTCTATGTCAAGTTTTAGGAGTCAAGTTCTTTAAAAATGATCTGGGTGCTGCTTGGAAAACAGTCTGGCAATTCCTTAAATGGTCAAACAGTTACCATAAGACCCAGAAATTCCTTTTCTGGGTGAAATGAAAACATATATTCACATAAAAACTTGTACATGAATGTTCATAGCAGCAGTATCACAAGAGTGATACTGAAGTTTCCACTTCAAAAAGTAGAAATAACTCAACTGCCCATCATTTGATGGACCCACTGTTTGATAAATGGATAAATAAAAGGTGGTATATCCATATAACAGGGTATTTGGCAATAAAAAATGAAGTACTGATACATGCTACAGCATTGATGGACTTTGAAAACATTATGCTAAGTGAAAGGAAACAGTCATAAAGGCCCACAATATCGTATGATTCCATTTATATGAAATGTCCAGAAGAGGCACAGACAGAAAGTAGATTAACAATTGCCTAGGGCTAGGGCAGAGGGGAATGAAGAGTGAGGGTTTCTTTTTGGGGTAATGAAAATATTTTAAAATTGATTCTGATTATGGTTGCACAATTCTGAATGTATTAAATACCAGTGAAGTGGGTGAACTGTATGGTAGTGAATTAATTACATCTAGATGAAACTGTTATTTAAAAATATGTATCTGGGTGAGTGCTCCTGATAATCTTAATGAAACGAGAACTAATATACTTGTTTTATAGATGGGAAATCTGCAGCTTAGAGAAGATGTCATTTACTCAAGTTCATAATCTGGTTGAGACAGTCAAGACTCAAACCTAGGTCTGTCTACAGTGCTTTCTACTTCCCAACACAACTCTATGCAAATAAAGTGAGAATCTTCAAGAAACGGCCCCCTTGTTGAGAAACATAAACTGATGGCTAACAGGTTCACAAGAGCAGTGTCCTAAGAACAGAAAATTCCTACAATATTATTAAACATTCCAAACTTAGAATGAGAGAGAAGGCTACCCATTAAAAAACCTAGCAAGTGGTTTTCCATCTCAAATGGGTCTGACTTTAATAAGAGTGCCCTGGAGGACAACAAAAGTAATAGCTCTCATTTATTAAACTTTTACAATAGGCAAGGCCTGGCACCAAGCACTTTATATGCATTAGTATGTTTAATCTTTACAGAAACTCTATGAAATAGATACTATTATTATCCAAGTTTCATAGATCAGGAGTGAGCTATGGGAGGTGGGTAGCTTGTCCCACGTCACATGTTAGTAGACGGTAGAGTCAGGAATCAAATCCAGATCCGCGAGACACCCAAGCTCTCACCACCGAATACACTTCTGAGATATGAAATTTGAAAGCCATAATGGAATGGATCATTCTTGAGAGGAAGGCAGATAATAAAAACTTGGCAAATATCAAGGGAGCGCTTTCTTCAGAAAGTGCCCTAATCCCTTGCCATTTACCAGCAAGTTTCTTCTCATTTCCAAGGTACAATTCCTATGCTTTATAAATTGCACCATTTCAGGGGAAAGAGGCAAAAGTCTTTCATTTTAACAACACAGCACAGGAGTTTTTAACCCCAAATATATCTTGTGAAATAGTAACAGCTAATATTAATGGAGAACTTATATGTGTCAAATTTTTCTAAGTGTTAGCTTACTTAATAGTCAAGACAATTGTCTGAAGTAGGTACAATTTGGACACAGAATAGTTGAATGAAAAAGTGGTTAATTGATTGGAAAAAAATCAAAATAATACTTTGTGACACATGAAAATGGTATGAAATCCAAATTTCAGTGTTCATAAATACAGTTTTATTGGACACAGCCACATCCATGTTGACATACTCTCTATGGCTGCTTTCACACTACAGTGGCTCAGCTAAGTAATTCTGAAAGATACCACATATCCCACAAAGCCTGAAATATTTACTGTTTGGCCCTTAACAGAAAAGATTTATGGACCCTCATTCTTTTGGGTATTAAATTTAAAACTCTTAGTGAAAAAATGGAGGGGGAGTATATAAAAAGTACTCCCTCAAAGGAAGAAAAAGCATGGCTTTAAAGGGTGACTGGAGTAGGAATGGAAACTTCCTTCCAAACTTTCAAGGAACAAATTTCTATGTTCCAGAACGCGTTCCAAGGCCTCAAAAACAGTGGAGGACGTCCCAGTTCCTTTTAATGACTGGTTCATAAAGGTTTACAACCCCTCAGCTGTTTTAATTGGAAAGAACTCTGCATAATGAAAATAACAACAGCTGACAGTTACAGAACTTTCCCTACGATTCCAGGTGCTTTGCTAAATACAAGATTTCCATGTAATCCTCAACCAAGGAAAGCAGGGTACCATTGTTATCCAATTCTGTGGGTGAATTGGAGACTCAGGAGGTTAAGCACATTGCCCAAGGAGCTCAGGCCTCTAACCCTTGCTTCTGTCTTCAGAGTCTACACTCTTAACATGACACCATTTAATTTTAATCTGGTCTGCAAATATTGAGGAAATGCACACTTTCCTGAGAAAATAAAAAGTACCAAAACTACCAAAATAATCTTGAGGTGGGGAGGAGTATATAGAAGCTTCCTACTGACTTCCAAGGCTTCCCTGGTGACCTGTACGGTAAAGAATCTGCCTGCAATGCAGGAGACCAGGGTTCGATCCCTGGGTCGGGAAGATCCCCTGGAGAAGGGCATGGCAATCCACTTCAGCATTCTTGTCTGGAGAATTCCATGGACAGAAGAGCCTGGCAGGCTACAATCTATGGGATTACAAAGAGTCGGCCACAACTGAGCAACTTTCACTACCACTACCGACTCCCAGGGAACAAATAGTTATGTGCCATAAATTGATTTGAGGGTGTGGAGAAGGGAGCCCTCCTACACTGCTGGTAGGAATGTAAACTGGTGCAGCCACTAAGGAGGACAGCATGGAGACTTCTTTAAAAACTAAAAACAGGGCTACCATATGACCCTACAGTCCCACTCCTTGGCATGTATCTGGAGAAAAACATGGTCCAAAAGGATACGTGCACCCCCAGCACCCCCAATGTTCACTGCAGCACTGTTTACAACAGCTAAGTTCATGGAAGCAACCTAAATGTCCCCCCAGAAATGAATGGATGAAGAAAATGTGGTGCATATATACAATGGAATATCACTCAGCCATTAAAAAAAATAGAATAATGCCATTTGCAACAACATGGATGGACCTAGAGACTGTCACACTGAGGGAAGTAACTCAGAGAAAGAAAAATATCTATCGCTTGTATGTGGAATCTAAAAAATAAAATAAAATTACAAACTTATCTACAAAACAGACACAGAGAAGGAACTTATGGTTACCAGTAGGGAATTGTGGGGGGTCAGGGATATTTAGGGAGTTTGGGATTAACATTTACACATCACTATATTTAAAATGGATAATCAACAAAGACCTGCTGCAGAGCATAGGGAACTCTGCTCATTACCGTGTAACAACCTAAATGGGAAAAGAATTTGAAAAGAATAGGTACAACTGAATGTGTCTGTACAACTGAATCACTCTGTTGTACACCTAAAACTAACACAACATTGTTAATCAACCATACTCCAATAGAAAATAAAAAGTTAAAAGAAAAGGCTTCTCAACCTAACACACCAATGTTATACCCTAGCTGAGTCGGTTGCAATAGCACTCATCTGTTGACTCACCACCCTCTCTCCCCTGGAAAGGAATCCCTGTAAGATAAGGAGAGTTAACATTTTCAGCTGGAGTGTGTGTCAGGGCACTATTTTAAGACTTTCTATGCAGTAATTCATCTAAGGTAGGAATGATTACTTCCTGAACTGAGAACCACAGAGACTAAATGGCTGTTGACAGTCTCACAACTAAGAAGTTAAAAGCCAAGTCAGGCAGCAAAGTCAGCATCCTTAACAGACTCCCTACCATTCCATGGTAATAAATCTCAAAATCCTAATCAAACATGTTCGACCCAGGGAAAAGAGAAATTGGAAAACCTGAGCCAAACTTATGGCAGGGGTTGTGGGGGCAACGGCATTCCAATAGTGCCCAGTCAGCTGTCTTCACAAATTATCTAAACTCCCAGCAGAGCAGTTCTGAACCAAAACCATCTGACTTCCCAACTCTTGATAAAGAGACTTCAAAAGCCTTATGCTAAGTTTAAGAAGCCAGCCGCAAAATACCACATACTGCACCATTTCATTTTCATGAGACTTCCAGAAAAGGGAAATCTAAAGAGACAAAGTAAACTCATGGCTCCTCAGTGGCAGGAGCCACCACTGAGTGCAAACGGGCGGGACCGAGGGGAACTGTTCTAAAGCGGCCTTGCAGCGGGGCCTGCACAACTCCTCAGTGAAGTCAGAGCCGCCAGTCCTGTCTGACTCTCGGCGGCCCCACGGACCATACAGCCCATGGGGTTCTCCAGGCCAGACTACTGGAGTGGGCAGCCTTCCTCTTCTCCAGGGGATCTTCCCAACCTAGGGATCGACCAGGTCTCCCGCTTTGCAGGCAGATTCTTCACCAGCTGAGCCACCAGGGAAGCCCGGCACAACTCTTTAACTGTGCTTTAAAAAAAAAAGAAAAAAGAAAAAAAGTTGAGTTGAACACTTACAGTGGGTAAGTTTTAAGGTAAGTTAATTTATGTCTCAAGAAAGCTGTTTCAAAGAAGCTGGCTGTTCCGACAACCGATTCCTAATCAAAGGCAGTTTCCTAGACTCAAAGCTTCCTCTAGTCAAGTCAATGGTAGTCACGGGAAAGCCCAAATTCAGAGAAAACACGAGGGTGGAACAGAGGTAGGGAGCGGGCCCCGAACTTCAGAAGCTCTTCCTGGAAGGTTTCTCGCTGTTTGAAGAAACCTGGCGGTGAGGCTGGAGGTCTTCGGTGGGCCCGGCCGAGAAGCAGCCCCGCAGCGCGGCAGGCAAAGGCAACCGAGGTTGTGCGGGCACCGAGGAACGCCTCATTCCCGACGGCTTGAGTCCAGCGCGAGGCCTGACAAGGACGCCCGGAGAGGCTTCGCAAGGGAGGGAAAACCGACGTCCCGAGGGGCTCCGCGACGCGAGCCCACCAACCTCGCAGCCCCGAACGGCCAGGACGGGGATGGATCGCCTCCCGCGAAGGCTCAAGATGGGGCCCGTACCCTGAGGGCCCGCGCGCCTGCGCCCTGGACCGGCTTTGCAATTGGGCCCAAGCCGGGGCGTCGGCCTTTCAGCGGTTCTCCCACCGGTGTGGACTAGCAGGCCGATCCCTCGGTAGCGAACGGACAGAAGAATCACGCCCTCCATTTACTGCGGCTTTAGGGTCGCAGGTCCCTAAGCCGAGCCCGGCTCCCTGAGGAGAGCCGGCGAGCGGCCCGGGGACAGGCGTTGCCCTGGCCAACGAGTCGGTACTTGGTGCGCAGGCGCGCGGTGCGGGGCTCAGCGCAAAGGCGCCTGGGAAACCGCCCGGAAAGCGAGCCGGGCCTTGCCCTCGAGGAGCTCTCACAGGGGCCAGAAGCAGAAAGAAAGCGACAGGCGAGTGTAGGCATCCGTTGGCTCTGCCTCAGCCGTCCGTTGTGGACTTGGGGAACTGTGTCTTCAGACGCAGTAGTTTTATTTCACGATCTAGGCAATGAGTTCATCTTTTGTCGGTGAATTTCAGTTTCAGAATTCTGTGAGGTTATATTTTGAAGAGATTTCACTGTGTTCTGGGGAAGCGATTCCGTGACCAGAGTGAAAACTCTGAGAGGGCAGGCACTTGTCAGTACAAGCACTCACTGCACCTGAAGGGTACCTGGCACAGAATGAATGCTCAATGAATAGTTTTCAGATCTCTGAAGTCTGTAAAGGAGCGTTTCGTCTTAGTCACTAAGTCGTGTCTTACTCTTGCGACCCCGTGGACTGTAGCCCACCAGGCTCCTCTGTCCATGAGCTTTCCCAGGCGACAGTACTGGAGTGGGCTGCCATTTCCTTCTCCAGAGCATCTTCCCTACCCAGGGACTGAACACGCGACTCCTGCGTTGGCAGACTGAGCCACCTGGGAAACTCTCAAAAGGGCATGCTGCCCCAAAGTTAGAGTTCCTGGTAAGTGAACCATCCGCCAGCTTGGCTGATAAAACCAAAGTTTCATTTCTTGAAAAGTAGTCTAGTGTGCGAAGTAGGGTTGCATGATATAGCAAGTAAAATTACAGGATAACCCAGTTAAATCTGAATTTTAAATCAATGACAGTTTTTTAGCGTTAGTATTGTCCCATACTGGATTTTCTATATTTTATCTGGTACCCTAGTGAGAAGGCAAGAAGGCAATGTGTTAAGGTGGAGAGGGAAGATGATTTCATTCCTCCAAGAAAGAACTGGAGAAGGGAAAAAAAAAAAAAGGCACATGGAATTTATAAATAAATACCTCCAATTATGAAGCAGACCAAAGACAATGCTTGAGAAACTTTGATTTAAAGTCCCCCTAGCCCTGTGCTAAGGATTGTATTTACATTATCATAATTGAAATGTTCTCTGCAGTAGGATAATTATTATTTTTATTTTACAAATGAAGAAAGAGGCTCAGAGATAGGAAGGAGGTGGCTTGCCGAAGTTGCCATATTTTCATTCAGTCACCCCCAAAATAGTTACTGAGAATATTTTTGTGTGCTGTTCTGGTATTTTTATTCCACACACAGGCTGCCTCCTGAGCTTGAAAATTTCAGTCTCTGCTCACTCCTTAGGCGCCTTCTCTTTCCCCACACCAGCTGTTGTTTCCATGGTGACCGACCCTCTTCTACCTCTGTTGCTAACTAGAGCTAAGAGCTCTTGAAGGGGAAGAAGAGGAACCAGTGACGTCAGTGTAACCTGCCTAAGGAATGGGAGGGGTGCCTGGAGCCCTAAAGCTGCCTCTTTCAGTGGTTTGTGCTAGGTGCCTGTATGTGTTCAAATCTGCCTTTGGGTGGGGTGTCTGCAGAAGAATAAAAAGTTGACTGCATGAACCTCTTGTAGACTCCATGGAGTCATAGACTGTCAGTTCACAAGCTGCTGCGAGCACTAGTGACATTAACATTTTGCATGCTTACTACTCACTAATTCATTTAGTCTATCAGTCAGTAATGATCTGCAGAGAGCTGATTTCCTATGTGTGCTGAATGCTAAAGGTACTACTGCTATCAGTACCCTTGTGGTCTCTACTGCCCTGCTCCTTAGAGTCCAGCGGGAAAGATACTTACTTATTTGTTTACTGTTAATGATTTTTTAATTGATGCGTCTTTGATATACAATATTATGTTACAAGTGTATGATATAGCTATTCAGAATTTTTAAAAGTTATACTCCATTTATAGTTGTTATAAAATATTGACTATATTCCCTGTGTTATACAGTATACCCTTGTAGGTTAGTTTATGGTAATAGTCTGTACCTCTTAATCTGCTACCCCTGTTTTTCCCCTCCCTGCTTCCCTCTCCCCATTGGTAACCACTAGTTCTTTCTCTACAAGTCTGGTTATTTGCTGTATTCACTAGTTTGTTATATTTTTTAGGTTCCACATATAAGCAATATCATACAGTATTTGTCTTTCTCTGACGTTTCACTTAGCATAGTCCCCTCCAAGTCCATCCATGTTGTTGCAAATGGCAAACTTTCATTCTTTCTTCTGGCTCCGTAGAATTCCATTGTATGTATGTAGCACATCTTCTTTATCCATTCCTCTGCTGATGGACACTTAGGTTGCTTCCATATCTTGGCTATTATAAATAGTGCTGCTGTGAACATTGAGGTATATATACCCTTTTCAAATTAGTGTTTTCATTTTTTTTTTCAGCTATGTACCCAGAAGTGGAATTGCTTAGTCAAATGGTAGTTCTGTTTTTAGTTTTTTTTGAGAAACCTCTGTACTGTTTTCTGTAGTACCTGTACCAATTTACATTCCCACCAACAGTGTATAGTTCCCTTTTTCCCATATCCTCGCCAACATTTGTTTGTGTTGTTTTGTTATTTATTTGTTCCTTTTGTTATTTTGTTATTATTTATTTGTTCATCACTATATTCTGAGAGCCCATTATGTGTGAGACATATTAAGAGTCTGGGAGAAACAGAGTGAGTTTAAAAAATAAAACAATGCTGTGCTGCATGGAAATGAGCATGATAGGTTTGAGGTCAGGTATTAAACAGATAATCACAAGCATGGCAAATATTTACTAAGTACCTACTGTGGTGCCAGGCACTGTTTCAGACAAAGGGACTGTAGCAATGAACAAAATAGACTTTGTATCTGTTCTCATGGAGTTTACATTATGGTGTAAAGGGAAGAAATAGATGTAAATGAATCAATTAGTATATTTCATTTACAACATTAGAGAAGGAAAATGGCAGCCCATCCCAGTATTTTTGCCTGGAGAATCCCAGGGACAGAGGAGCCTGGCAGGCTATAGTCCACAGAGTTGCAAAGAGTTGGATGTGACTTAGTGACTAAACAGCAACAAGAACAACAGTTACAACGTACAAGGTATTCAACTCAAACTGACTTAAATAAAAAGGAAAATTTATTGGCCTAACTAATTGAAAATGCCAGATATGTAGGTGGTCTCCTCTATTTAGAAACATGATTTCTATTATTTTTGCAAATCTCTGTGGTTTTTCTGCCCAGTATTCCCTCCTCCTGTTTCTTGCCACAGAAGCCTTCATTTTCTATGGAGAACTGATGAGTGTTTGACCCAAGCCTGTCAGACGCTCTGTTCTGGTGTCGTGTCCACCGTGATTGGTTCAGGAATGAGCATGTGACTCCTGGTGAGGCATTTGGAGATACACCTGTAAGGAATGATAGCTCTTTGCTAGGATGCTAAACTGGTCCTGTCTGCCTGTTAGGGACAAAAGCAAGAGCATCAGAGCCTCCCACTGCCTCTTCTGATGTGTCAAGGGGATAAGGTATGTAATGGACTTAGCACAAAGTGGGCTCTCAGTAACTGTCAGCTAGCGTTGTGGGTGAGTTACAAAGGGAGCGGTGAGAAGAAAGTCTTCCAAGGGGCCGGAAGCTCGCGAGTGTGCCGACCACTTCAAAATAAAGTCAATCAGGAGGCTTCTTGCATTGCGTGTTGCTGTTGTCCAGCCTCCGAGTCATGTCTGACTGCGGCCCCATGGACCGCAGCACACCAGGCCTCCCTGTCCTTCACTCTCTCCCGGAGTTTGCTCAGATTCCTGTCCGCTGAGTCGGTGATGCCATCCGACCGTCTCATCCTCTGCCCCCGCCTTCTCCTCCTGCCCTCAACTTTCCCCAGCATCAGGGTCTTTTCCAGTGAGCCAGCTCTTCACATCAGCTGGCCAAAGTACTGAAGCTTCAGCGTTAGTCCTGCCAATGAATATTCATGATTGATCTCCTTTAGGACTGACTGGTTTGATCTCCTTGCAGTCCAGGGGACTCTCAAGAGTCTTCTCTAGCACCGCAGTTTGCAAGCATCGATTCTTTGTCGCTCAGCCTTCTTTATGGTGCAACTCTCACATCTGTACATGAGTATTAGAAAAACCACAGCTTTGACTGTACAAACCTTTGTTGGCAAAGTGATGTCTCTGCTTTTTAATATACAGTCTAGGTTTGTCATAGCTTTTCTTCCAAGGAGGAAGCATCTTTTAATTTCGTGGTTGCAGTCACCATCAGCAGTGATTTTGGAGCCCAAGAAAATAAAATCTGCCACTGTTTCCATTTTTCCCCTCCATGTATAAGTGTTATCATGTAATATTTGTCTTTCTCTGACTTATTTTCCTTAATATGATTGATCATTTCTAGGTCCATCTATGTTGCTACAAATGGCATTATTTCATCCTTTTTAATGGCTGAATAATATTCCATTGTAAATGTGCACCACATCTTTACCCGTTCATCCGTCAGTGGACACTTAGGTTGCTTCCATGTCTTTGCTGTTGTGAGTAGTGCTGCTGTGACCATTGCGGTGCGTGTATCTTTTCAAATTAAAGTTTTTGTCTTTTCAAGGTGTACGCCCAGGGGTAGGATTGCTGCATCAAATGGTAGCTGTTTTTAGTTTTTTAAGGATCGCCAGACTGTTCTCAATCGTGGCTGCACCAAATTACATTCCCACCAACAGTTTGGGAGGGTTCCTTTCTCTCCACAACCCCTCCAGCATTTATTGTTTGTGGACTCCTTGATTACGGCCATTCTGACCTGTGTGAGGTGGTACTGCGTTGTACTTTTGATTTGCATTTCTCTAATAATTAGTGTTATTGAATGTCTCATGTGCCTGTTGGCCACAAATATCTCCTTTGGGGGAAGTGTCTAGGTCTTCTGCTCAGTTTTTTATTTTTTTTCTTTTGAT